GTTAATGTGCTTAACATCAGTAGTAATTAACCCACCAGACTGGAAATTTGCATGAGTTCTAACTTTGACATTACAAGAAACCCTGATTCTTTCTGGGTATTACACACCAGGATGGTGGAAACATATATATAAATATTTTTTTCACTGATTATTTTTTAAAAGAAATTTCCACGAATGCAGTTATTATTTTTTCATGGATTTTTAAACCATTGGCAAATTCCTGAAGAGCACTTCATTCTTTAAGAGGATTTATTTCTGAACTATGCTGGCACAGAGAACTATTTGGCACTGCCTGCTAGCAGAGAAATCTTTAGGTAATATCACTGCTTCCTCAGAATTTACCGTAGCCTGGGAAATACTGTGGCATAATACAGTAGTGACAAGCATTAGCATGCATAATGGGCTCTAATAGACATTTAACGCTGTTTAGTTAGAAGCGGGAGCCGCGCTTTCCCATTGGAATATTCCTCCATCGGAATCCATTGATCACCGATTTCAGTGGGGAGAGGTTAATCCATCAGCCTCTGTAAGCAGACGGCACTGATGGAAATTCTTTAGGTGGCATTGTGGATGAACCAAGCTTTCCATCTTTACAAACAAATGAGTGATATGACAAGCATGGTGTTCAAAACACATTTAACCAATTGATTTTCTTTCCTCTTGTAATAAGATCTGGAGACATATGAAAGTGCACGGTGTGAGCTAAGATTAAAGGAATTGCCCCATGCACAGGAACATACAGAACTAGGAGCCACTAACAGTACCGTAAAGCATGTAGTCACTCATTCTCTTTTTTATATAAAGTTTGTTATTGCAATAAATAGTTATTATTGAGCGGGTGCCTTTCATTTCTGTTTTGCAGAGTCTTATTTCAGGTCCGTGTGTATGTGCACACACACGCGTGTCTTGTCTCAGTAGTCATCTTTCTCTTGGAAGATTTCAGGATGTTTGGCAGTAATCGTTTCTACCTTCTTATTTAATCAGACAGACCCGATGTGGTCTGGGATGGTAAAATTAAAGCCAAAACTAAAGCTACATGCGATACTCTGTACTTGTCAGCATTGATGGTCTTCTCGTTTTTATCTCCCCACATGCAGCCCTGCCTTGAGCTTCACCTACCCTTCTGCGCCCGTCTCCCTCCACATGCATCAACAGATCTTAAGCCGCCAGCAAAGCTTAGGCTCTGCCTTTGGACATAGCCCTCCACTCATCCACCCTGCCCCAACTTTTCCAACACAGAGGCCTATTCCAGGGATCCCTGCAGTTCTGAACCCCGTCCAGGTCAGCTCCGGCCCTTCCGAGTCCTCACAGGTGAGAGAGAAAGCTCGATGGGCTGGTCCGTGTTGGTCCCTAGTACCTCAGTGTTCTCATGGCTTCCATACTGGCCTCCGGACTTTGTGACCCACGGGTATAGTCTTCAGTCTTGATGCATGGACTGTGCACATGCGTCCTTTTCATCAAACAGTCCCTTCTTCCACCAGAGTCATTTTCTCATTGGTGGGAAAGCAGCCTGCTTGATAAGGCTCTGCTCTGAAGCGTAAACCACATCCAGTGTAGACACAGTGTGTGGATGTATTGCTCTGATTTGGTCACTATCTACACCCTTGCCAAACAGCAGTTGCTACTTAGCATCCGGCAATGCTTCAGAGCAAGGGCAGAATTGTACTAGACTCTCTGTTCTTACTTTCACACTGATATGGTTTAGAGAAGAGTCAGGATGCTCCTAATTAAAGAACTTCACAAATGGTTCGTGTTGGTCTCCTATCCACCTCACAACTTTTGTTCTGTTGAAATACATTGTTGGAGCTTTTTAAAGCCTAGGGCTCCAGTGCTATTTTTCTAGCTTTTAAAAGCCACAGGGAGTTTATCTACCCATGAGTTAAATATGAAGAGCTGCCTCATGAATGTGTTTTCCAGCTTTGAACATACTTTCTGGACTCTGTTACCTTGGGATTGGAGCATCCCAGAGTCATGGCCCTATGGCCAGTAAGCCTGCTTGTCTCGAGTCACAGGTTTTAATCATGGCACTGCTCATTGATCAAAACCTAATTTTTGTCTCTGGCCCTGCAAATGTGAACAGCAGAACAAGCCCACAAGTGAATCTGCGGTGAGCAGCACGGGTGACCCAATGCACAACAAGAGGTCCAAGATCAAACCTGACGAAGACCTGCCCAGCCCGGGGGCCCGGGGGCAACAGGTAGGATGCCCAGGCTGTGCAGGCCAGCCCCCACTCCTCCCTAGACCTGGTGTCTTTCCACAGCATTTCCCTGTCCGCTGCCTTTTTGGCCTTGGCATGCTTGACGGAAGGCCAGTTACAGAGTGACTAAATCTGTTTCTCTAGCTCAGAAGCAAACGTGAGCAATTCAGGAAGCTGTATAGGCTACACAATCCTGATAGTCTAGACAGCCTGAGAGTGTAGGCAACTGTAGTTCATAGAGTAAAAGGCTTGGTTAATCTGTTGCTGACCACAGATGGGACCAGGCTTCAGGCCTCATCCCTGATCCTGGGCCTGAATTACTGAGCTCCTGGCCCCAAGACTGAGCTGGGCAAGAGCTGCTGATGTTCCCTACACTGATCATGCTGTTATGGTTTCTTATTTTGCTACTTTCCACTTGCAAAGAGATCCTGGAGAACCAGGAGGAAATCTAAGTCTAGTCAGTCTCTGTTCATCTACCCAAAATCCTGAAAGGAGGAGTTTAGACATTTCAGTCTGGACTCTGCTTCTAGTCACTTAGATCCTCTGGGCCTCAGTTTGATAATGTGTAGGTTATACCCATAATACCATATTATGGGGTTCTTGTGCCTGACACAAGAAGGAGCTCAATGAATGTTAACTCCCCCAAATAGGAGTCTAGACATCCACAGAACCTTGACCTTGCTATCATCAAGATGTTTCAACCTAAATCTGACTGCTTCAACCCATATTTCCTCTTCAGTAAGAACTTTGAGGATGGATTCTGAAACTGATCCTTCTTCTTGCATTTTGCTGGACAACAGCCTTGCTGGTTACATCTCATTGCTTGTATATAGTTTTTATCATCTTGCCCCAAATTAGAATCTGAATCTACACACCTAAATGCCCTTCAGAATTCTGGAAATTCTTTGTATTTGCACTGCTCTGAAGCTGCAGTAGAAGACTGGAAAGGACTGTGCCCCAGCTTTAGATGCTGTGGTTCTCCAGCTTTGGGCTGTGAGGGTATCTTTGAAGATCATAGGTTGAATCAGGAAGGCACTATCTCTATAAAGTCCACAGAGGGCCTCACACAGCCTCCAACACCAGGGAAAACAGAATTAGAAGTACTCATAAACCATTTCTCTGGATTACAAAAATATAAGAATAAACAATTTAATACACTGACAAGAATTAAAACAACTAAACAAAATAGACCAGTCTTTTGGGTAAAGACTACATGACCTAATTGCTTTTCTTATGCGTTTTGTTTTGCGTTGTTTTTGTTTTATATTTTAGATGACATTTTAGTTTATTTTCAGCTTTGTATTCAAGGCAGCAAAGTTTGGCCTCAATTTTTATGATCTGAGCTGCTGAATCACAAATTAAAAATCTGGGAAGGTGTATTCGGAAAATCTGAAAAAATGCGTACACATGATTCCATGTGATTGACTTCTACTCATAAAACGTTCCTGACAGACCAGGGTTCTGTTTTACTTTCACTGAAAAACCGCATTAGGAGAAAGACAAATCTAAATCAGGTTTTTACTCTCCTCTTTGTCTTCCCTCCCACTGTTTCTGATTTTATTCCCCCATCTGCTTTCTTCCCCCACCCCTGCCTTTCAGGAGCAGCCGGAAGGAACAACCCTAGTCAAGGAGGAAGGGGACAAAGACGAAAGCAAACAGGAGCCCGAAGTCGTCTATGAGACCAACTGCCACTGGGAAGGCTGCACCAGGGAGTTCGACACCCAGGAGCAGCTTGTGCACGTAAGTGAGGGCGCTGTAGGCTGGGCTCTGCAGCGCTGCGACCCTTGCCACGGAGGTCAGCTTCTGCGACCCTGTGCTGAGTCAAGTTTCTTAGTGAGCAGCGTTGCAAACTAGAGAGGGCTTTATGACTTTCTGAGAATAAAGAAAACTGAGCCGCAGTGCTTGACCTGTTCAGTCAGCTAAAGCTTAGTGTAAAATTCAATAAAGTCTTCAATAGCGAGTGTAATGACTCTGATCCTGTAAACCAGAAAACAGAATTTTGAGTTAGCGACTTTGATGGTTATTGAGTAATAGTAAGCTGGACATGAATTATTATTAACCTTTTAACCAAGTTTGATTCCCCTTCCAAGGCCCAGTAATGACAGAAAAAATCGTAGGGGTGGGGACTCCTTTTTTCCTCTCTCAAGCCCTCAAGGCCCGATTGCTCTCCCATTGCTTCCTGCAGCAGTGAGTGGCCTCCGTGAAGCAGGCAGATGTTCCGGGTAAGCCATGAGCAGAGTTTCCTGACTTAAGACCAAGCTTTGTGGGGTTAGCAGTTTCATGGAAAAAGTTGTATGTGCTTTTAAATGTGTTTAATGCTGTATGTTTTTGAAAACTACAGCATGGTCAGACTGTGGACCACACCTCCTCCTGCCACACCAGGTTCAGATATCTTCTGCTCCTGCTCCTGTGCACCATTTCGAACAGTGCAGTGACACAGCTGCCCCTGCCCCACATGTGCATGGAGGGACTGACTTTGCCAGTGCTTCCTTAGACGAGGCACTTTCTCAAAGGCCAGTGGAGTGTCCCTGGCAAGTGGAACCAGGAGCAACTGACATGGAAGGGCATTTAGATAATCAAGAATAAAAAATACAGGCTGGTACAGCCTCTGTGCAGAAGCATAGCGTCCTGTTAAGGCATTAAGGATGGTCACAGTGTGGCAGTTTCTTAAGCTTTTAATGTGATGGAAATGTTGACACAGAGCAGTTGTGATTGCCTCTCTCTCTAATACACACACACGCACACACTCATCATCCCTTCTCTTTGTTTTACAGAAACTTTGTATGTTTAGATGATCCATATTTCTTGATGACCCACTTCCATTTGGATTAAACACTGAAATTACAGAGTCCCTGTCACATCCCACCTGCTTCACAGGCTGCGTGAGCTTTTGAGGTGTCTCTCCTGTAACTCGGCCCATCCTGTTATACATCCCACACATTGCAGTTACATTATAGTTAAATACACAGTTTGCCAGGTTTTAGATCTGTTATGTGCCGAATGTTCAGAAGATTTAATGTGACATCAGCAGAGTTTCCCACCCTTTTTCTTTGTTAATCACGTCTCCTTGTAATTGTATAGAAAGAATTATAGATTTCTGAGCACAGCAAAAAACGAAAAAGTCAAATGTTTTTAATTAAGGTATATTTCCAGATTTTTCCATGAACTTAATTTGATTCTTTCTTTTTAATTTGATGCAAGTGTTATTTTTAAGCCAAGCATGACTTAATGGCCCTATATTCTTGCTGACTGTTTTAATAGAAACCACAAAGACATGTAATACTAAGGGGGGAAAAGTTTAGAATTTTTCTTTTAATATGGGGAAATATTCACAGAGCAGCATGTGCCATGAATATCCTTAGTGACACAACCAGTGCGCGACGTAACTGAAGAGCACGTTTGTGTGAAAGCCGCGGTCATAGGAAAGACGCTGACAGTGCTGCTTGCTTTTTAAAACATTCTGAGGATGGCCCAGTCTCATGATGATGTTTTGGAGGATAAGTTATTGGCGCTTCTAAGGAGTCTTGTGATGGTAGTTCAGTTATTATCAAATGAAGAATGAAACGGGTTTATTCCAAGTCTGCATTTAAAGTGAATCGTGTTCCTCATGAGAGGGCGGGTGGGAGGTAACATTTTGGGGGGTGCGGTAGTAACTTAAACCTTTCACTAACTAAGTCATGTAAACGTGTTTAAAAGATAGTGAATATTGAAGGTATTTGTATTTCATGTCAGTGGCAAAAGGTCTCTGATGTTTTACTAGAAAGTTATGAACAGTTTTAAGGGAAGGCTGCTTAAACTACCAACTAAATGACCACCTTGTTGTCTACTTATGAGAACTATCTGTAAAAGCCATGAAAGCACACATGTACAGTGAAATTTTTTTTCTAAATCC